TCTCAAAAAAAGGGGGGGAAAAAAAAAAAAAACCCCCCCCCCCCCACACACACACACACACACACACACACATTTTTAAAATCAACTTCATGAAAAGTATTTTCGTAAGAAAGCTACTTTTTTTCTTTCTTGTGCTTTTGAATGTCTTTACATCTTTTGTTTGTAAATGTGTTTACATGTTCATATATGTACATTCTTGTAGTAATTTTCATGGGCTGTTTTTGTTCTCTGTGCCTTTGATTTGTGCTTTATAAATACATTTTGCCTTGCCTAGAATACAGTAATTGTTTCACTTATTTGTTTGTATTTACCTGATTGAAAATACCCCCAAAATAATATTTCATTTGTGTTGTTATAAGTTACAGGTCACCTTCATGGTGGAAAAAGTTTTAAACATTCACTGGACGGAACTACAACAACTACTTTATTTTGAAATGTTGCACCGGAAGCGAGTGTGTTCACGAAACGTATTGACACCGAGGAACAGTTTAGGTTTTGGGAAATGCGCGCGTCAACGTGCATGTGGAATTGAACATATTAAGGCGTTTCACGACGAAAGATTTGGACACACGTTGAGTGCTTTTGGTGTTATTTTGGCAATTGTGCGCAGCAGTTGCCCATTAATGTTAGCGTGACGTCTTGGAAAGCCCGGCTGATCAGCGTCAACCACAGAACCGAAAAGGATTTACGTGAAGCAGGGGATGTAACTGCACTTGAACTGTTTGTACTGAAGCTCGTTTCGGGGGTTTCTCATCTGTTGCTCGTGGTCGCGGAATTGACGTGATTTCGAGGCGTCGCCTCGACGTCACAAAGGGTCCACCAACATCATCCAAAAGAACCCGAAGTCGAAATGCTTCTTCCTGCTCCGTGTTAACCAGACATGTAAACCACCTCGACGCGGAAGATCGCTGACTCGTCACCGTACACTTGTCAGATTGTGGTGGTGGCGGGGAGGGGGCACATTCGGGGAGAGAGGACGGCGGCGACACGAGCGAGGCTTCGCTGAAATGAGATGAGGCTCAGAAATGGAACTGTGGCCACTGCGATAATTTTCTTCACGTCTTTCCTCAGCTTGTCCTGGTACACCGCCTGGCAGAATGGCAAAGGTATGCTCTGAAATTCACATCATGGTATTAATTGAATCCCTTCATGGTAACGTTGAGTGTAAAATTGTCATAATAATAATGGAAGTCTTTCTGAATGTGTTTTTAAAACGTGAAAAGGTAAAACATTCCTGTTAAATGTGTTTATGCTGTTTCGTTTCATTCAAACTTGTATACAATACATCCTGATTTATATTGCGCTTTCACAACAGCAGCAGCTGGAACAAAGCGCTTAACAAAACCGTTGACATAAAGTAAAATAATAAACGCAACACAGAGATCAGTTCATTTCTGCTGTCCCATGCAAATCCATTTCAATTCCAAGCGGCGATTCTCACTTCCAAATACGCATCTGTGCTCCGCGCCGACGCTCCGATCTCCTTATCCTCAACTTCAGCAGCCATCCATCCAGCCGCACCAACTCAGACTGTCCAACAGCGCCAACATCTCCACTGAACAAAGCGGGGTTGTGTAAAATGCTGCCCATTACAGGCGCAAAAAACACTGCGTCCTTGACTTTCAGCTTGGCTCTAACTTGGAGGTAAATATCCAGCTTGCGAATATAACGTTAGATGTTGAGCTTGGTTATTAGTTAGTTGATGACGTCCACTTTAATAACTATCTGGTTCACATTCTTACTGGTAAGTAGCTAATAGAGTGTATAGTACACGCAAATTGCAAGTAGTTTTGGAAGTCCCAAGTCTAGATCCAGTTTAGTCACCAGTTGGTTGAGATTTGATCTAGCTTTTTGCGAAAGTGAGTCGCCATCCAGCTAGGGAACATGCTAATGAAAATCCACATTGCCTCAAAGCTGTTCAAAATCATCCAGCTTGCTAACAAGCTCAATGACATCCAGTACCTGGCATAAAGACACCTCCTATTTTTGCTCTCTGTGTTGAGTCTATGAAAGTTTCTCTCTTGTTCAAAGCCCCGTATACCCATGTCTCTTTCCCTATACCGACACAGCATCATATATCACTTAGTCATTGACTTATCATGGGTGCAGCCTTATCGCGCAGCAATTTCTGTTTGGGCGTGATGTGAGGCCAGAGTGCGGCTTCTTGCCCAGGTTGCATCCCTTGTGGGAAACGTTGGGGCTTGGTCATTGGTGACTTCTTATCAGCTAAGTGTAAATAATTGCAGCCCTCAGATAAATTCCAAGCCAAGGCCTCGTGTTGTGCTTGTGCGCTATCAATGTCTGTTTGAAAAGGATGTCCAAAGAATAGCAGCGTATGACTGAACAGCAACAGGGTGGATACCTGCTGCAGTGTGCGGTGCACCTGTTGACATAAACAAAAAAACATTCAAATATGACAGAGTTGTTTAGTATGTATGCTCAGGACCACTTTTTTTCCAGACCGATACCAGTGCGAGTATTCACTCTTTGAGAACTCAACGACATCAAGTACGATACCTTTCGTACTTTTACTATACGGGTCTACTAACACCTAGTTTTGAAATGAGAACAACTACAAAATCAACCAGTGTCACAGAACAGATTGCATTCACCTTTGAGAGGTTCTGTGACATACGGTGGTTGGCCTGGAGATTGCTGGCTCAGTTGGACGCGCTTCCCGGCCCGAGGATTGGAGCACAAAGGGGGATTTTCGGTTGAGCTCTGGAGTCAAACCAGGCTGGCCACACCCACTACACCACCCGGGCGGCGTCCGAGCAGTGTGCACATATTGCTCGAACAAAGGCAAACGGGAGGGTACGTCTGCCCAAGGCGTTTAGATTTCAAGAAAATTTCCAAATGATGGAAACTCAAGGAGCTGTAAAACCGGAAAGAACCGCCGGCATCTCGAGTGTTTGGGCTGTAATGCACACACTCCTCGATAGTTTAAACATTTACCTTTTCTTGGAACATAGAATATGTGTAAACTAGTCTATTTACCGTGTGCTTATAGGCTATTGGATTTTCTCACGTACTTGTAACTTCACGAATTAAACGCATTGCGCCACGCAAGCCACCGACGAGCATTAGTGTCTTGCTTCGTTGCGCTCCGCTCAGAACTGGAAGCTTTTGATCGCCGTAAAGAGTTTCACAATGGGTGGGCATCGCTGTCCGGACTTGTACAAAACATTCAAGTTTGGTTTCTGTAGAAATTCTCGACAACGTTGCCTCAATGCTATTTGAAGCACTCATCTTCTTTTTCCTTACGCAACTTTTTATGACACTAAATGCTCATGTGCCATCAAGATTGGCAGCAAGATTATGCCACCCCTTTGAACTCAAATGAAAGTCCATTTTGAGGTGACGGTGTGAAGTTCTTTGAGAAACGCACGATACAAGCGACGTTTGCCCTGTGATGTGTGATGCGGAGTATTTTCATTCCATTTTGTCAATTTGCTTTCATTCCAACCGCAATACAAGGCACCATGTAGACAGCACTCGAGATTATCTCTGTGTTTAATCTGTGGAAATCTTTTGCAAACAGCTACTTTTGCTATGTGCACGATGTTCGCTTGAACAGAAGACCAAAAAAAAAAAAAAAAATGGCCTTTGTGAATATGCGTGTGAATTGTTCTTCTGCCGAAGGACATGAACTATTGGAGACATGATGGATGGATGGAATTTAAACTCTTATGACCACTTAAGAGTTATTTTTAATTCTTGTTTCGTGGTTTAGAAGTTCTGGGAACAGTTGAGAAACATAATGGGTTTTGATGGCCTTCCAAAAGATAAACAGCCCCCCCCCCACCACCCCCCTCGCACCACCCCAAAAAAAGATGCAGAAAAGATTATGGAGGCGATTGATACACATTGACTAATATTTGGATTTTGTGAGTCAGGACAGTGATCATCAGAATTTGAATCCGTTATCTGTTAAATGTCATTCAAGCAAATGCGCAAGTGTCATTGTTGGGAGTTGAAAGCTAAACTTGGCAGTTTGGAGTTCTGGCCTCTGACATCTTGGACCATTCCCCGGTCACGTGACTTGCTGCGAAGAGGGCATGATATCAGTCAGCTGTACAAACACTCCATCTTGACTCTCCTGAGTGTGCGCTTCTTTTTCTTGTTGCATCGCATGGTGAAACCGCAGTCATCTCAGCGAGCCGGGTGGATGGCAGGGAAAACATCTGTGTGACCCAGCCTCAGGGGGAAAAAAAATGCATTCAGATGATTTTATTCTTGATTAATCAAGCATTCGTCATTTGAACTGACATATCGAACTTGTTGGGTCTGGCCAGGACACAAATTGTTGAAGCTTTGGAATTATTTTTCCATTCTTGCTTGATGTGCAGCTTCAACTGTTCAACAGTGCCCCGTTGTTATATTTTACGCTTCATAATGCGCCACGTGTTTTTAAATGGAGACGGGTCTGGACAGCAGGCGGGCCAGTCTCGTGCCCGTCTTCTTTTACTATGACGCCACACTCTCGTCAATGTCGGTTTTCGGCCTTGCCGCTTACATGGATTGATTTCACCAGATTCTCTGAACCTTTTGATGATATTATGGAATGTAGATGACGAAATCCTTCAAGTCCTGCAATTGTACGTTGAGGAACATTGTCCTAAAACTAAACGGACTCTTTTTCTCACGCAGTTGTTCACAGAAGTAAACCTCGCCCGATGTTTGCTTGTGAATGACTGAGCAATTCAAGGAAGTCATGGCAGCCACCTGTTTCGAGTTAGCCTTTTCACCTGTGAGACGTTCCAAACAGGTGTTTGATGAGTCTTTTTTGCCACCTGTCTCAGCTTTTTTTTGGGGAATGTGTTGCAGCCATAAAATGATACATTTGTGACTATTTGCTAGGAGTTGCACGTTGGTCGACTCGTTAGCTCATCTGCCTCACAGCGCAGAGGTCTCGGGTTCGAGTCTGGGCCCTGTCCTTCCTGGAGTGGAGTTTGCATGTTCTCCTCGTGCCTGGGTGGGTTTTGTCCGGGTATTCCGGTTTCCTCCCACATGTCAAATACATGCATGGCAGGCTGATTGAACACTCTAAATCAGGGGTGTCAAACCGATTTTTAGTCGCGGGCCACTTCGGAGTTACGGCTTGCTTCGGAGGGCCAGTGCAAAATCTCAACATTATTTATTACCCATGATAATTTGACATTTTGGTACAGATTTCAGCAAGAATCATGATCATTGACACACAGGATTTGTTCCCGCAGGCCACATAAAATGATGTGGGGGGCCGAATCTGGCAACCGCCCCCCCCCCACCACCCCCCTCGCACCACCCCAAAAAAAGATGCAGAAAAGATTATGGAGGCGATTGATACACATTGACTAATATTTGGATTTTGTGAGTCAGGACAGTGATCATCAGAATTTGAATCCGTTATCTGTTAAATGTCATTCAAGCAAATGCGCAAGTGTCATTGTTGGGAGTTGAAAGCTAAACTTGGCAGTTTGGAGTTCTGGCCTCTGACATCTTGGACCATTCCCCGGTCACGTGACTTGCTGCGAAGAGGGCATGATATCAGTCAGCTGTACAAACACTCCATCTTGACTCTCCTGAGTGTGCGCTTCTTTTTCTTGTTGCATCGCATGGTGAAACCGCAGTCATCTCAGCGAGCCGGGTGGATGGCAGGGAAAACATCTGTGTGACCCAGCCTCAGGGGGAAAAAAAATGCATTCAGATGATTTTATTCTTGATTAATCAAGCATTCGTCATTTGAACTGACATATCGAACTTGTTGGGTCTGGCCAGGACACAAATTGTTGAAGCTTTGGAATTATTTTTCCATTCTTGCTTGATGTGCAGCTTCAACTGTTCAACAGTGCCCCGTTGTTATATTTTACGCTTCATAATGCGCCACGTGTTTTTAAATGGAGACGGGTCTGGACAGCAGGCGGGCCAGTCTCGTGCCCGTCTTCTTTTACTATGACGCCACACTCTCGTCAATGTCGGTTTTCGGCCTTGCCGCTTACATGGATTGATTTCACCAGATTCTCTGAACCTTTTGATGATATTATGGAATGTAGATGACGAAATCCTTCAAGTCCTGCAATTGTACGTTGAGGAACATTGTCCTAAAACTAAACGGACTCTTTTT